CATAAATATCTTATACAATTTATTATCTTTTCTTTTGCTACACACATTAATTTAAAAATATCGCATTTTTAAAATAACTACCAAAAAAAATTGTTCTCTTGATACGTGGACAAATATGAAGAACTTGTACCTACGTATCCTTAAAAGTTTCTATTTCTTCCTGTATATTTGCTTCTGCAACGGATATCTAAAAACATCGTCATAATTTTGAAAATGTTCTTCGCTTTCAAAAACTGTATAAGTTCTCTCATGTTTCACAAACTCAACCACGGTGGTCAAAACTTAAGTATAGGACGAACAAAAATGCCAATCAAAACTGATAACATATTCTGATTATAGACCCTTTTGGTAACACAAACATGTATTTATCGAAATCCCAGTTGATCCTATTTTAAAGTTTTAGTAACATTTTTGTTTTCTTATTTCTATATATTATTTTGCAATTATTGTACTAAAACTACCTGGACAATTTTAATAAAATTAAGCAAAATAATAAACTTTGTATCACCCATAATATAACAAGTGGTATGATTATCATCGATGATATTTTCGAATTGAAACCGAGCTGCAGATTTCACGAGTCCGCAGGACGAGTGAAATGTGCTGCTTCGGTTTCAATGAGTAAATATCTTCGATTATTAATCATACCACGAGTTATATTTAGTGAGAAAATACAATGAATTTTAGATTTAAAAAATTTTTAGATTGACATTTAAAATTAAAATGTGCTTTAAAATATAAAAAGACTTTAATAAACCTTATTTATTCAAACTTACCTTAATTTCATTATCGTTTACAGTGTAAACTTTACACCAACACATCGATCTTTTAGAGTTTATAATTCATTATTTTATTGATATATATCAAACACAGAATTTAAATGACAACAAATGTTAAATCAAGAAAAGTGTCAAAATCCTTAGTACCGTGTAAACAAGATGATAAAAAATGCCGCTGGGATAAAATGCGTAACTATGGAATGCTGGCATTTTATTGGTTCTAATATTAATAAATTGTATTGTCATTTAAATAACTTTACTCCCCAGTATTAATTTATTGAGTCACACTGAGAAAAAAATGGGACAAATAAACTGTGTACCTAATACTTTTATTTATAGTGAATATATTGTTTATTACCTCTAAATAGTCGAAATAATAACGATAAATGTACTTTAGTAAAACTCTATGTGTCTGGAATAAAAATATATTTAGGATAAATAAACTGCACCCTTGTCCCATATTTAAATATTTTTTTTATTTGGGAGCAATAAACTTTTTTCTCAGTGTATAGGGGTATTTGAACTATCTGGGTGGTCTTAATTATTTTTAGTTACAAAACGTCTTTAAACATGATCACTATAAATAATATTATCTAAAAAGTAAATATAAGTAAAGACGTACGTGTGTCTGTTAGTTTATACCTTTTTGGGAAGTAAAACAAACATAGAACAATTTTTTAAATATAATTTATTTTATCAAATTTTGTAAATTAAATATCTTTATCCGAAAAGTTTTCAATATCACTATCATTAACATTCGGCATTGCTGGTAAAAGAAGGTCAATTGTTTCTGGCAAAAAAGAGTTCAATTTTCTTTTTTTTACTATCCTCATGCTACTTAAGAGGGGATCGGAACTTAAAAGTAATCTATTAAAAACATCTCTGTTACAGTTTTCCCTTGAAAATTTCCTAGCAAAGTTTTGGCGATAATTTCTAAAATGTTTGTTCCGCGCTTCCGCAGCCTCTTCTGAAAGCTGCCCAATAGGCAGCAACGCGTCTTTAATAATAACTGCACCATAAACAAGTATTTTGTGCATCGTGGGGGTCATAGGATGCCAAGGATAAAGTTTCACATACAAGCGCGCAGTATCTTGAGCATACTTGTCAATTTTTTTCATCAATATAATGTCCACTTAAAATAGTTTCGAGTATAACCTTTAATCTGTATATAAGTTCATAACTAATACCAGTTATTTCAGAAGCCAATGTAGGGTCTTCAAAAAATCTGTGACTCGTATTTCCATAATTTGTGTTGCCAAAATTTGCCTTTGGCATATCAATTAAAAGACCTTTCTCTTTTCGGAATCTTGCCTGAATCTCCAATTTTCTTTCTTTTTCAAGCTCTTTTTCTTCTTCACTTTTTCTCTCTCTGTACTTTTTTACGGGCAATTTATAAGACAAATGAAGTACACTTTCAAATAAACCAATTCGTGCATGTAAGACAGACAGCCCAAACTCTGTTGCTTTCAGGTTAATGTCTTTATTGAAATTAAACTGATTAAAATATTTGGATGTTGCACCGCATATGTAGCATCGACTTGTTGATTTTGTTTCAGTTGCAGCATTGCACACTTTTCCGTCAACCATTGTCATTATAAACACATAGTTCACTTTAAATTCTTTCCTGTTAAAAAAACTCTTGTAGCTTTAAGTGAGTTGGCTGATGTTCCAATATAATTTATTTCCTCCTCTGTAATATCCGTGCTTTCTTTCACAAAACGAAACCTAATGGGACGGCAATATCGCGGAGAAGAGGGGGTAGGGTTTTCCCAAACAATTTTAGCGCCATTTTCACCGCATACTAATCTTAAAGGAACGAAACAACTTTGGAAAATATTGGCATCAGAGTTTGCATCATTTTAAAATTTTTGTTTATATTGCGATAGCTGAGAGCCATCACAACCCCATTTGCAAATAAGTTTTAGACTATCACGTTCATGTTTTTTTAGGGGTAAGATAACTTCCTCTAAAACCATTGATAAACGCTTCATCGTAAGATCAACCAAAGATTGTAAGATGCTTTCAGCTCCAGTACTTGATACCCTGCATTCCTCTTTGGGTGGATAGCATTCTCGTTTTGCTTTTTGTATAAGGCTATAACATGGATAAAAGTCTTTGTTAGTATTTCTTACTACTTCATATTGTCGCCTGGTTAGATCGGCTTCTATAAACATTGCTAATGCTTGCAAGGGTGTGAGAGAGGCAGGTTTGACGCTTCTTGATTCTGATAATGCCCTTTTATATTTGGTTGCACGTGTTGGACTAGTAGTAGTTATATCTTTAAGTATAGCTGCAGCCTGCCGTTGTCCACTTTTGTTTAACTCAACCTGAGCAGCATGAACAATGACTTCTTTGACTACAAATGATCGAATTTCTTCTGTTTTTCAGTACACTCTGAAAAAGTTTTGTGTGGACGGCCTGACCGATTTTGAGCAACCACGGGTATATCAAAGGTTCCTTCTAACCACGAATTGTTATTTTTTCGGAAAATGTCTTCTTTATAATAAGCTTTTTACCATTTTATTTTCAATTGGGATTTAAAGCGCGAGAAATGTTGTTTTAAACTCTTTAATTTGGTTATCCGAATATCCTTCCAATGACAAAAGTTTCTTTTGTAAGAAATTTAACTTTTCTTCCAAATTAGGCAAGTTTTGCATCTGCATTTGATTAAATAAATATTTACGGGTCACAACTCTTAAGCTGGATTTATAGTTTTAAAGCTAACGGTAGAGGCAGCGGTAAAGGTAGCGGTAGAGGTAGCGGTAGCGGTAGCCGAGTTCGGCATTGATTATTATATGAAACAATTTATAGTTGTCAGAGGTAGCGGTAAGGGAGGTAGAGGCAAGAACGTAGAGGTAAGAAATGACCATCTTTCATCTTTTCTTACCTCAACCGCTACTCCAGCCAATCACACGGCAGTTTTCAGTTGGCAGTCTCGCCTTGTTAGTTCAGTTTTTATGCGAGGGGAAACCAGACTTGATAAATTGTCAAAAATGGGCACCGTCATTTGTGTATTTAAAGAACTGCTCTTTATCAGTCAGTGTTATTTTTTTTAATACTGGAAATGGCTTTTCTTAACTCCTTCCCGATTTAATTCCCTCGTTTTATAGCGACGTCCTTGACGACCCCCATAACGTACTTGAAACCCTGCAATACAACATAATATATTGTATTGCAGGGTTTATTATATAATATTTCGCACAACGCCATATGGCCCAGAAGCACAGCATTGTCCTCGCAACTCATGTTTTCATAGAAAACTTAACCTTTTGCTATTAAATTTTACAAACAAAATTACAATCTGCATTAAAGTACGCATGCGCCGCCAGTACCGCTACCGCTACTTTCTGAACTATAAATTGCAGAAAGTGATACCGCTACCTCTACCGCTGCCTCTACCGTTACCTTTAAAACTATAAATCCAGCTTTACTCCCGATATATTTTGTTAAACAAAAAGAATTTAATTTAAAATACATGAAACATTATATCACGATTTTCATAACATTTTGGAGTAGAAGTTAAATTTAAGGTTAGACTGCTCATCCGGGATTATCTGGAACAATTTTTTTGTTTACCTAGTACCTAAAGCTTTAATCTTTTGAATAAACCTAAAATCATAGCAGGATCTACCTGGGAAGTATAACAAAACCTTTCGTCAAATGGAAAAAAAAACAAAAAATTACACATTAAAACACATTACATATAAAATCCTATAAAAGTCATTTACATTACATAATAAAATAAAGATTTATTACCTGCTCTACCAATTGGTTAACATCCATCACTTCTATTTTAATTAAAACGTATTGTCAAAAATGTTCACAGTAAAAGTATATCATTACGCAAAAATGCCGAGGCAGACACGTACACCATAATTGACAACTGAGTTTTGACAGGCCCTGAGAGCGCTGTGTTCACTGTAGAAAAATTTAAAAGGTGGGGTAGTATTCTCAAACAAGTTGCCTAGCCCCAGGTAATGACAAACTCTTATGCGTAGATTCCAAATATGTCATAAAAAACTGCATGTCCCAACCCCATTGTCCGTAATTTTTTGTCCCCTCTAAATTATTTTCTGCCGGCGCCCATGATCAACGAGTATTTAAAATTAACAACAAATTGATAATTTTTACTAAACGGTTTATAAAAATATTAATCCACCTAAATGTAATAATTTGTATTTTACTTTAGTAGTAATTGACTAATTCTTAAATTAATTGCAGTAGTGAAATTACAAAGGATGAACCATGGGCCTGGGAAGCAAGAGAATTTTTGCGTAAAAAACTTATTGGTGAAGAAGTATTTTTTACCTCTGAAAAGCCTCCAAATACAAACCGCGAATATGGAAACGTATTCTTGGGAAAAGGTATGTATATTATTAAACCCATGCATGAGTACTTTTCTATTTTAAAATTAAAATACAATACGCTAAAGAAGTATCGGGTTTTCGCAACCAGCGCGCCATCTGGTGGACTTCAAAAGCATTGCGTGAATTTAATAATTGTCAACAATACATTTAAAGCATACGAACTGTACATAATTTTTAAATAAATAGGTAGTTTTTTCACAAAAGAGAGAAAGGCAGAAGTCTTACTCGACAAATTTTGTTCAATTGCACAGCTAAATCGCGCACGTTATTTGTGTTTTACGTTGCAAGGAAAAAACTAAATAACTGGTTTAGTACTCGATTTCGATTGATTATTCTTTATATCATTTATTAAAAACTCAACGCTTAAATGCTTATATGGTTACTTTAGTGTGTGTATTTTATCTTAGGGATCATGGTGATTTATTGTGTTTTTAATTGTAATTAAAATTCAAAAACTAAATCGTTGCATTTTCATGTTTTGCCAAAGGATCCAATTCTGTAAGGACATTTGTTGGTGCAGAATTAACTAATGATAACTTTACCTAATATAATTTATATTTATGTTTGGACATTTTTAAGAAATTTGCACAAACAACTTTAAAATCAACCATTATAACCATTATATTTGAGTTCTCTAACAAAACGCCGACAACTGTATTTTAAACAACAAAAAATACCTACGAATTCATGGCAACATAATATTATACATAATATAATGGTATTTTACCGTTGCCTGGAGACATTAAATAATTTTTAATCAACGCTTTTAATAATGCTAAATGCTGTTTAAATTTAGTCGACTTATTTGTTTGACGATTTTTACTGAATTGAAATGTTTACAATTTTTACGTTAATCATTACTAAAATGAGTATTTATTGTATCTTATAGATACAATTTATATTTACAGGAACTGTATAATATTTATTTCTTCATTCGGATTAACACTTTATTGGAAAACCGATAAAAACTCAACCCAGGATTTCCTCTCGAAATACACCCAACAACACAACAAATTGTGCCACTGTTTTTTTTCAATAGTTTTTAAAATTATCCGGCTTTATTCTCAGAAACACTTGTTTGTAACACACGCGTTTGACAGCTGATTATCAAAAGTTATACTTTTGTTATGATGATACCAGCCGCTACTAGCGATATTTCTTTAGCGTAGGTATAGGATCAAATTTGTTTTAGACCTGAATACAGCAGAGAACATTACCGAAGCGTTGGTATCAGAAGGTCTTGTAAGTGTACGTCGCGAAGGCTTGCGTCAGACCCCAGAAGTAGCGCGCCTCTGCGAACTGGAAGACGCTGCCAAGTCTGCTGGGAAGGGTAAATGGAGCACTAGCCCACCCTCTGAACATGTTCGCGATATCAAATGGTCCATTGATAATATGAGAGCTTTTCTTGACAAACAAGATTACAAGCCTATCAAGGCTGTAATTGAACATGTTAGGGATGGTTCAACTGTAAGAGCTTTCCTTCTGCCTGATTTCCATCATATTACTCTTATGATTTCTGGTATTAGGGTAAGTTAACCTATCATACCCAGGGAGCGAAATTACATCCTCTACACTTGAATATGATGTTTTTTTACCTGTGATGTTATCATTTTAGTGAAATTAACACGGCATTCACGTCATATACAAGTCATAAGTTCTACCTAAATTACATAATAAAATAAACATCTTAAAAACAACGTGAAATTGATGTTATATTAACTTGTATAATAACATCACATTGATGTCATCATTAATAACATCTTAAAAATAGCGTGATTTTGATGTTATATTAACTTGTCTATTAACATCATATTAATGTCATCATTAATAACATCTTAAAAATAACGTGATTTTGATGTCATAGCAACATCATATTAATGTCATCATTATACCCCGGAACTCTAGCGATGACGTTATTTATTGTAGTTAGTAATTATTAATATACTTTAGAACTCTATAATGACAAGTTTTATTATGGTTATAACCACAGTAAAACTTGTCATTATAGAGTTCTAAGGTATAATTACTAACTACAATAAATGACGTCATCGCTAGTTCCGGAGTATTATGATGAAATCAATATGATGTTGCTATAACATTAAAATCACGTTATTTTAAAGATAACTATAGTTATTATATTAACCACAATAAAAAAATTTAATGAAAGATTTTATGAGTATTAATAATTACTTACCAAAATAAATGACAGATATCAATAACATAATATGTTATCATGATTTTTATTTATTATTGGGTATTTTAAGAGTTCGAATCTAAAATTAAGTTTAAATATAACGTTGTTTGCCCCACAAGTAAGTTCATACTGCTTATACTCAATAATAATAATAATAATAATAATGTTTATTAACGCTAAATAGCAGTTATACATTGGTTTACAATAAATAAATCAAATTAATTCTAGTAACAAAAACAATATAATGTAATATGTTATATCAGGTACAAAAATCCAATAATAATAAAGCCTCGTCTGTCTCACCACACATGCCAGCAATCAAAGACCATCGAAGGAATTAAGCTGGGTTTTAAAGGATGCCAAAGAGCAATTAAAAAAGTTTACTGAGGAGAGACTGTTGCATATTCTGGAAACCCGACTCAATGGAGAATTACTGGCATATACTGTGCGACAGTTGGGAATATCTAATAACATGGGATTCCTCAAGTCCCTCCTCGGTATTTTCAAGTTAAAAGAAGCCAGTATTTCAGAAGATTGAATCAAGCCATTAAATACCTTAAAGAGGAAGCAAGCATCCTTATTTAATCTGCGCCTCTTGAGCGAACTTAGTCCTAGATATTGCAAGGTATCCTGAGTACTTAATACTATTCCAACTTTGAGCAATCTGTACTTCATGTGACGAGCAAATTTGTTTTGATAATACAAATCATATAGGTTTGGTAAAATAATTTATTATTCAAAAAATAAATTGTTTAAAATTAACAAAATAATAATTTATACTAATATTTTAAAACGATCTAAAATCAAAATATTTTGGAATGGGTTCCTAAAAACAAAAATTAGTTATTTCATTATTAAATTTTATATAAGTTGAGTACCTTTTAATGGCGCCAGCAAAGCCACTATGCTTGGAGATTTGACAAAGGGAGCCCCTGAAGATGGTTTTTATTTAATATTTCTAAAAAAGTAGAAACACCCTGTTACTTACTTCATGACATTCTATTTTTTCCTAAACATGGCAGCCGTATTCCAAGGACCACGCGAGTGATTTAATTGTGAATTTTTATGCCATGTAATTTTTAAATCGATTTTAAGCGAAAACAGTGTACCTATGTTATCGAAGTTCAACAAAAGGACCTTTTTTATGTGCAAAACTCCAAAATTTCATAATCTGACATCAAATTTTGGTACAAGATACGTACAAAAAAGTTAAGGTGGTTTTAACCGCACTTCCTATCAATCTGACCCAAACCTCATGAAATATTTTAAATTGTTATTGTTACGTTTTATAGTTCATAAAAAGTTTTATTAATTCCCTAAAATTCACTTTTTTTATCTTTTAACGGTTTTGGAGATATTAAATAAAAACTATCTTCAGGGGCTTTCCTTTCTGGGGCAGTAGCTCCCTTAAGAGGCATTTCTTGACCTATGTTTATAGGGACTTTTTTTCTTATTTTTGCACGTAGAATTTGCTGTTAAAGTATGGTGCACTAATTTCGGAACATTCTGTATATTATATTAACATATAGCTGAGAAACACAAAAAATAAAAGATTGATTAAAATATCATGCAAATTTGCATGACATACAACATTAATTTTTAATAAACCCGGCATTGTAGAAAATAATTAGGTATACCTATAGGTACTTACAGTTTTTGACATGGTGTTGAAATAAAAACACAGCAAAATATATACTAGAATTGTGTTAACAGGTCATAGAACACGTGTTCAATTTGTTAGCAAGAATAGAAAATGGCTCGTTACCAACGAACCATATAACAAATATACGCGTAGAATAAAAAAAGAATATGCATATGGCAAAAATAAGACACGAAAATCACTTTTCCAAAGAAAACTGGGAGGGATGACGTGAAATTCATGTTAATTTTACAGGAATAAATGATGTTCATATTAAGTTAAAAAATCACCAAATATTGATGTTAATTTGTTGTTCAAATCGTGATGTTATTCAAATATCAAAAATAAAACACGAAAATCACTTTTTTTAAATGAAAGTGCGAGGAATTCCGTGAAATTCATGTTAATTTAACAAGAATGGGTGACCAATATTTAGTCAAAAATTCACAAAATATTGATGTTAATTACTGGTCACATAACTAGTGTTGCAAACAAGGAAAAGTTCTGTCGAAAAGTTGGAAAAGTTGTTGGAAAAGTTCGGCACCCCCTATGAAAAGTTGAAAAAGTTATTAGGTGGGAGCCAATGAACAATGAGTTGACTTCTAACCAGTGTTTCCACTACCATAAATTTTTTTTGTTAGATAATTTGGTCAAAATTCGATATAAATCGCTAGATTTGAAGTGTTTTTAGTAAAACATGCTAAAAGCGTTGTTTTTTGGAATAACATTTTGTCAAACTTTATCAAAAATGGGGTCTGCTAACAGCATTTTCTATTATATAAAGATTCTTTTATTATAACGTATTTTAAATTTATACACAGTATGAAAAAAATATTATTTTTTTTTTAATTATTTCTATTCTTTTTTAATTAAAAAATATGATTTTTTTAATTCAAACCTAGTTTATTTCTGTTATTATTATGTTGTCTGTTCATTTTATTTTGTTTCATATTTTTTTTTTGTTATTTTGTTACGTATGTATAAATACATAAGAAATAAATTATTTTAATACATTGACAAGCATTATTTATGTTTTATACGTTTACATTACAAAAAACTCAACTTTTCCATCTTTTCCAACTTTTCCGAAAAATAAAACCCAAATTTTCAAAATTTTCAAGTTTTCATGAAAAGTTGCAACCCTACACATAACATACTTTGCTCTCTGGATATAAACTAGTCTACCAAAGGATCAGTTTAATATCATGTACAATTCTGAGAAAATGTTGTCACATATAAAAATAAAATATTAAAGTGTAGCCGTAACAGGGCTACCCTGTTAAATTATGCATTGTGATATTGGGGGAAGGGTTTCGATCGCGTTACATAATTTATAAAAAGACTCTTATTAGAAAGCACACACTATTTATCTTTATTTATAATATTTTTTGTTTTATTTTAGTGTCCAGGATTTAAATTAGATGACAATGGCAAACCAGATCCTAATGCTGAAGTAGAATTTGCAGCTGAAGCAAAATATTTTGTTGAAATAAGATTGCTCCAAAGGGATGTTGAAATTATTTTGGAGTCTGTTAATAACAACAACTTTGTTGGCACTATTCTGCATCCAAAAGGCAACATTGCTGAAGCCCTTTTGAAGGAAGGTTTTGCACGTTGCGTTGATTGGTCTATTGCCTTTATGCGCTCTGGAGCAGACAAACTTAGAGCATCTGAAAGACAAGCTAAAGAAGCAAAACGCAGGCAGTGGAAAAATTGGCAATCCAATGCTCCTCAAATAACCGGAAAGGAAAAAGAATTTACTGCTACTGTTGTGGAAGTTAATAACGGCGATGCCCTCATACTAAAACTCCAAAACGGACAGCAAAAAAAAGTGTTTTTGTCGAGCATTCGTCCACCAAAAGAAGCTAACAGATCAGCGGATGAAGAAGGTAAACCAGTCCAGAGACCTAAAGGTTTCCGTCCACTTTATGATATTCCATGGATGTTTGAGGCTAGAGAGTATTTAAGAAAAAAACTTATTGGCAAAAGAGTTAATGTAGTAGTTGATTACATCCAGGAAGCGAGGGACAGCTATCCTGAGAAGACTTGTGCAACTGTTTCTATTAATGGAAAAAATGTTGGCGAAGCTTTGGTCTCCAAAGGATTGGCTTATGTTGTAAAGTACAGACAAGATGATGATCAACGTAGTTCAAGATACGATGATCTGTTAACTGCGGAAAATAAGGCTTTGAAATCGCAACTTGGTGTGCATTCAAAGAAGGAAGTAGCTGCACAACGGGTTACTGAAATTGATTCCGCCAGAGCCAAAATGGAACTTTCAACCTTCCAACGCGCCCAGAGAATCGATGCTATTGTTGAATTTGTTGCCAGTGGATCCAGGTTGAGACTTTACATTCCAAAATCCAACAGTCTTTGCACTTTCCTTTTAGGTAAGTGATATGTAACCAATGGATTTGACTTGTACTAACTGAAAATATACTTTTAGGAGGGATTAGCTGCCCAAGAGCATCTCGTCAAGCTTCCGGTACAGCTCCAGCTTCACCTGCTGAGCCTTATGGTGATGAAGCTCTTTACTTTACCAAGGAACGTTGCATGCAGCGTGAAGTTTCTATTCAAGTTGATTCTCACGATAAAGCCGGAAACTTTATTGGCTGGCTTTGGGTGGACAACAATAACATGTCAGTTTTGCTTGTCAAGGAAGGTTTGGCATCCGTTCACTTCACTGGCGAAAAATCTCAGTTTGCATCACCTCTAAAAGCTGCTGAAGATAGTGCCAAACAACAAAAGTTAAGAATATGGAAGGACTATGTAGAAGAAAAGGTAGAGGCCAAGAAAGAAGAAGACAGCAAAGTGGTAGGTTTAAATTAGTGTTCAAAAAATAAATAACATTTATTTTGTGCGTTCAATGGGCCTAAAATATGAAAGATGCTTACTGCTAAATGGCTAAGTTAATGGTTAAGAAAAAAATGGTCCAAGATCAAACTTCGCCCTTTTGATGTACCGTCGAATAAAGTTAATAGTGTTTGCCGTACTACTATCGAAATTTTTGAATGTTACAGTAACTTGGAAAATACATCTTAACTAAAAATAAGATTAGACTTGTAATGGCCTTAAGTACACACTAGTTCTTCAACATAGAGAATACCTCGGGTAACTTTACAGTGGAGAAATAGGGTTTGAGAATCAGTTCAGGTTTTGTGGTTTATTAATCTAAAATGCCAAAAATAACTCAAACTTGTTTATTCTTTTTGGTAAATATATACAATATATACAAAAGCATAAATAAAGGATACATACATAAAATACAGATTTATTGTAGATAATGAAATAATTTTATATGTGCAAACAGGTCAATATTTCTTTCTCTTGCACCCAAAGGCAACAAGCAGGTACAGGCTTAGTTTTCCTCCACAGACAGGCAAATGGAGCTATAAAGAAGAAATATTAAATGCAATATTTATAAGTGGGGTTATGTTCACTTCGATGGTAAATGTTGTACAAGTACAAATCATACAAAAAAACACAAAAAAATAAGACTTTTTTTAACATATTTGGCTTTAGATGCCGCTGCTTTTAACAAGTCCTTATTACCAGATATGGCATCTTTAAATTCAGTGCAACTGCTATTAATGTTAAAGAAAACGCAAAGTTCGCTTTTTACACTTTCTAGGGACAGACGATTTCTTTCGTCTTTCCAAATATTTCCCATAACGCTAAATATCCTTTCTACAAAGGCATTGGATATAGGAATGCTGCAAACATATTGGACTATTTTTAGCAAATTTGGTGCTGCCTCATTTTCGAAAAATTTACACCACATATCCACTGTTTTTCCTGTAAGTGCAGGAAAAACAGTTTGTAATGCAGCCAGTTTTTCATAAATGTTTTCAGGTGGAGGTTCCTGTTTCCAGGGAGACATGAACCACAAATCAATCAATTGATCCAGCGTGGGCAATATTCCAGATTCCAGGTCTAAACAACTGAAAGTTGAAATTATTATTCTCAAAGGGATACAACTTCTCTATATAAACCAGAGCTCTTTGGTAAACATTTAGAGTATTTTTCGTAAATTGTTTTAAATGATATTCTTAAAGATACCCTTTCCTCAATGCTTTATGTATTTTTAATCCAAAATGTTGGTCACTTAATTTTTTTAAAGTGTGTCTCTGAATTTAACCATTATATTATGCAGAATATATGCTGCTGTGGTATGTTTTTCCAGCAATAAAAAATTTCTTGTAAAGATGCCATAAAATTATGAGTAAAATGCAAATATAATTCATTATAAGTGGGATTAGTCTCACTTGCAATTTCGTTTTCTTGATCTGATAAGATAGCCCAAAGTGCTGCAGAACAATTTTCAGAACCCTGATCTAAGAAATACCGTTTCAATGGTTCCCATGACGAGAGTGACCTATCAAGTGCTTTAAACAAACTTAGCCACCTTGTAGGAACGTGCCGAATAACATCTCTGTAGTCACTCTCAAAGAAATCAAAGCACTCCTCCTTCCTTTTTCTTTGCAGAATTGGAAAACTCTGCAAATACTTTCATAACTATGTTTTCGACATTGACAGGCATTACTTTTAAAGCATTCTTAGTGAGCAGCTATTATGTCATTATTTCTAGCAAACACGAACTCAGAGATAATAAACAAACCGCACGAACTGTAAATAATAATAATAATATAACTCCAAGTTTGGTCGGTTACCGTCGGTATAGTAGAAATACCCTAAATACCCGTCGCGACGTGTCGGTATGTTATTCCTACTATACCAAGAAACATACACTTATACATACTATACAGACCGACTTTGATACTTTAAACCAGCGGTTCTCAAACTGTGGTACGCGTACCACAAATGGTACGTAAGGCATCTAAAGGTGGTCCGCGAATAGATAATAGATGTACTTACCTTCAAATAAAATTATCGTTGGCTCAATTTTATTGAAAATCTATCATTTTTCACATTTTATATTGTAAATGGCAACACTGTTGTTGGTGTTTATTAAACGGGTAATCCCCTGCTCGTAAAATCGTGACGAGTCATGCGTATTTTGTTTTGTTCTGACAAATTGTTGTTTTAATACTATAAAAATTGGTTCTGTTTGACGGTTATCATATAATATAAACTACAAGTTCAAAAAATACGCACACGCAGCACAACTTGTTTTATTTAGTTCGGTGGTACTCGATTAATCCACATTGCACATGAATGGTACGCAAAAACAAAAGTTTGGGAACCGCTGCTTTAAACATTGGTTTCCTCAGCTTCAACCGTAAATTTATAGAGGGCGTTGGTGTGTATCCCAGGCTAGCAGGATAAAAAATTTGGAGACCGCAATATATTTGTTATATGCCGCAAAAGAAATGCAATTTTTCTGCGTGTGGTGCTGAGCACCACTATTTTCCTTTACGTGTGGTGCTTGAGCCCGCGAGCACCGCTATTGTCGCCGGCCCTGTAGTATAGTATATACATATAATATACTATGTATTTGCACGCCGCGCACACTACGACTGGAACACGGTCATTTGTTGAATTCTAACTTGGAAAGAAGTTTTAATTTTTGTTTAGTGTTGGCCGAATGCTTATCATTACTTAAGACTAAAACAGAGTATGCATACCACATGACGATTTTCTTCATGCGTACGCGGGTGTTAAGAATTTTAAATAACATATTCAAGCGCAAGCTTTAAACACCCCGGACAACAATCGGGATTTCCTGGTGAAATCATGATGATATCACAACGTGATTTTTTTTATCACGCTGTGATATCTTGAGTGCATACACATGCTTCATCACAGTGATATCATGTAGAACTCACGGTGTGATATTTGCAAAATTTGCGCATGCGTATGAGCCCTGCGAACTGCGAATTTAAAACCTACCCGCACAACATTCGTGATATTCATAAGAACATCACGTCGTGATTTTCACAAATATTATTCATACTGATATCATACGGAAGTCACCGCGTAATAAATGAAAATCATACCGGATGTCACTGCGTGAGAAATGAAAATCATGTCGTGATTTTTTATGCCATCGCTGTTTGCGATTGACCGATGGTACAAAAAATCATGTCGTGATTTTTTGTGCCAACGTGTTTGGATAATCATTATTGCGCCACGTTCGTACACTAAGAGAAAAATTATGTTGAATCAACAGTTTTTGCGGTTAAATACATTTAATATTTTCTTGGATTTAAATTAACTACATATAATTAATTTAAATCCAAGAAAATATTGAATGTTAAACTGTTGATTCAATTGTTAACATACTTTTTCTTTCAATGTACGAATGTGTCGTAAAAATGAATATCCAAACACCGATGGCATAAAAAATCATGTCGTAATTTTTTATGCCATCGGTGTTTGGATATTTATTTTTGCGCCCCATTCGTATACGTATACATTGAGAGAAAAAGTATACCTAAATATATATTGAATCAACAGTGTTTGTAGTTAAATACATTCAATATTTTCTTGGATTTAAATTAACTATAATATAGTTAATTTAAATATATTCTATAGTTAATTTAAATCCAAGAAAATATTTAACCGCAAAAACTGTTCATTCAACATAATTTTTCTCTTAGTGTACGAACGTGGCGCAAAAATTATTATCCAAACACCGTTGGCATAAAAAATCACCACATGATTTTTTAGGCCATCGGTCAATCGCAAATAGCGATGGCATACAAAATCACGACATGATTTTCATTTCTCACGCAGTGACATCCGGATGATGTCCGTATGAATAAAATTTGTGAAAATCACGACGTGACGTTCGTATGATTTTCATTTTTCACGCGGTGACTTCCGTATGATATCAGTATGAATAAAATTTGTGAAAATCACGACATGATGTTCGTATGAATATCACGAATGTTGTCCGGGACTGTCGGTCGCGATGAATTATCAGTACTAGCAAGTTTTGAATTGTTAGGTTATTTGATTGTTGTTTTTTGTTAATTTCAAAGCCTACTATGTGCAAAAAAACTATCATACGTAATAGGAAATATTGAATGTAAATGGTAATTATTTATAATTGAGGGGCCTAGAAGTAAAAGGGTTTAAGTGCATTTTTGTTAGTTCTGAGATAAATGGATTTAAAGTTAACTTGAATTTTAAAATTCTAGAAAAGAGTTTAAAAAACTGTGTGAATATTTTAGTTTTGTTTAAAGACTAAAAAGGATTATAAAGAAAAAGAAATTTTTCAATTTCGCTTTTTTGTTAATTTTTTTTTACAAAAATGTTCTTGAATCGTCATGCATGTAAGACAAAATTTAGTGGTAAAATGATTTAAGTGCAATAACTGTACTAGAACAAAACTTTATTTTTTAAAATTTGGGTAAGTTTTACAACAAAAAGTATTATTCATAATCAGAATCTAATACAACGTTTTCTTCATCTGAATTAGCTGGTCTTGGTTGGGGTTGACCTAAATTGGATTTTTTTTGGCTCAATACTATGGTCTTAGTTTGTTTCTTTTTTTTCTTTTTTTCTGATGGATCTCGATCGTGCTCTATGTTTTTATAAAATAAGTGGTAAATTGGCGGAATATAGTCCAATAAGGTACCTAAGTAAATTTTTGTGCTTAGCGGCTTTTTTTTAGTTTTTGCTGGAGTTACATGGCCTTCTTCTTCTACTTCTTCAATGATGTCAGGAACATAGTTACTATGTTGAATTCTCATCAGTCACCGATGCCATAGTTGTTCCGACCCCGGTCACACTATGTCAAAACGAGCTACTTGTCAAGGCTTTAGCAGCATAGATAATAGCCTATGTTTAGCAGTAAAAGGTACACTTAAATCGTTTTACCAAAGATATATTTTAAAATATTTTGACAG